TCGACCCCCACTGGTGTGAGGTTCACAAGGCAGAAGAGGGCGGGTGGATGGTGGTGAACAGAGCATTTCTTTCAACCACAGTACGTAACACTCAGCGACTGAATGTGTTTCTCAGCAAAGAACGTGTAGTGAAATAGGGCAGAGGCACGTGTGGCTGGTGTCTGGAACTTTGCGGCTCTAAACCAAATTCTCCCTCATTCCTTTGTCTCCAGCTTTTCCGGAAGAGTTTACATGTACAAGAAAGGCATAGCCCAAAAAAACCTAGCAGTCACACCATTGCCATATTTCAGAAGCTTTAACTGAAGCACCTGATGGTGTCGGGGTTCCTCTGTAGATCCAGCGTGAACATAGCATGTAGGAGAGGCTGTGTGAGAAGCCCTCGTTCTAACATCACAGGCAGCCTCCCGTTAGTCCTGTGGTTGAGCAGCCCTGTCAACAGACCTTATTACAGAAATCATGTTTTAGGAAAACCAGTGAGTCTGCTGCCACTGCAGCAAGGAATATAAAAGATGCTGTTTCCTGTCTTATTTAAGAAAGAAAGAAAGAAGGTGCTCCTTTTTAATATCTGCAGGCATTTTAATGTTGCTCTCTGCTCCCTTATCATTGCTGTTCATTTCCTTGGGCACAAAGGTCCATAACTAGCCTAGATTTTCATCCTATTATACTGCTTGATTGACCATCACCCCATCCTGTAGGATGTACTTATTTGAAGAATGAAGAACATAATTTACTGCTCGTCCCATAGCCTCACCTTTCTCGGCAGAGAATAGCAGAGAGTAGGTGACTGAACTTTATTTCCGCATCCTCTTCAATGAGTGTTTAACTGTCTCCTGTCGGGACGTTGCCTCTGCCCAACTGGACCTCGTACCTTCGTTCAGCGTGGTGGTGCAGTCACTCATCTCACATCATGAGTCGGGCGTCGCAGGGTAGAACCAGGAGAGAGGATTCTCTGAGCTTTGGCTTTAACCTTTCTGTGCCCCCAGCTGGACTCAGGCTTCACCCTTTGGAAAGATAACCACCATCTGCTCGAATCATGTAGACTTATTGCAGCCTGGTTTCTCTGTTACAATAAACTTACTGTAGACCCAACCACTGTCTACTACGTTATCTTTTTTCTTTAACGGAAAGAAAGGGTGGGGGGTGTAGATATCGTAAGTCTGGAGTCACGTCCCGCTGACCATAAGCCAGTAAATATGTTAGCTGCTCCAAATGTAGACTAAAGACGCATCTTCGTCTTGCTGTTCGGCCTGTACAGTCCAAAGATGTTGGAAATGTCAGTATAATCTTTTGGACCTTGGGGGACAAGTAGAGTGCCTTAAAGGACCCATGGATATGGGCAGGAATGAGGAGATGGAGGGGAGGTGGCAACTTAAGATGTCTACAGGAGCCAAGTCGGCAATATAAATAAACAGTGAATGTAAAGTAAAAGAAGGGGTGCAAACTGGCTGTAAGATGGTTGCTGGTGACCGACCAGCTTCCTCAGTGATGAGAAGTAGGGAAGTTACGGGTTCTGTGAGAATGACAGCCCAGGGTTGCAGGACTTAAATCTTTCAAATAAAATGGAAATCATGACTTTTATGGGAGGTCTATTGATGCTTAAAATTTGGCAGCTAATTTGATTTTTTTTAAATGATTTGCAAGCAAGATGCAAACAGATGGCCAATGTGCAACCTCTATCATGAAGTCATGTGCTCCGTCAGCAGACATCTAGCAATGGTACCTGCGTGCCATCAGTCCCACCCAAAGTTATTCTGTCCCCTTCAGCTTAGTGCTAGGAGCCATTCAAGATGGGACAGCTACTGGCCAGACAGGCAGCGGAGCAGGAGTCAGCTCAGAGCCCATCCACGGCACATTGGCACTTGGGAGGGAGAGCAGCCTCAATTTGTTTTTTCCCCTGCTTCTCACTCCCCGAGGGACCCGGTGCACAGTGGGCTTGCTCCTGACCCTGGGCTCTTCAGTGTTCCTGTTGCTAATGGTCACACCAAGGTGGGGAAAGGAGAAGTGAATGGACTGGTTCACTGATACCTTTGAAAAAGTATCTTAAGTGGGAAAACAACATATTAATCAGCTGCTCTATAAAGGGACTGAGTGAGGGGAAACTGAATTAAGTCTCCTTGTCTGGAGCCAGGATGGTTGAAAGTTGGCTGCCAAGACCTCAACCAGAAAAGGAACTTGACCACCTTGCTGACTTTGTTATTTATTTATTTATTTTTTTGAGGAAGATTAGCCCTGAGCTAAGATCTGCTGCTAATCCTCCTCTTTTTGCTGAGAAAGACTGTCCCTGAGCTAACATCCATGCCCATCTTCCTCTACTTTATATGTGGGACGCCTGCCACAGCATGGCTTGCCAAGCGGTGCCATGTCTGCACCCAGGATCCGAACTGGCAAACCCTGGGCCACCAAAGCGGAACGTGTGAACTTAACCACTGCACCACCAAGCTGGCCCCAGACCTTGTTATTTTTAAACATATGTGCTGCCAGCTCACCCTCGCCAAAGTCCCATTCCTCACCAAAAACCCCTGTTGGGTGTGAACCTGATGTTTTTCTCCACAGTTCAGTCTTTACCTTCCACCTTTTTATAGTTTCCTAGTCCGGGTCTATGATGTTAATGTTCTCCCACCTGATGAAGGAGGAAGTTTGCCTGCTCAGAAGGAAAAGTCATGCCCTTGTTTCATTGTAATTTAAGGTAAAATAGTTCCCAAATCTGGATTATTTATTTAAAATATTGGTTCTCTGGCCTTACCTCTGGGCATTCCGACTCAAGGCTTGGGATCTATTGTTTAAAATAAGAAAAAGAAAACTAGGTGTTTCAGATACAGCTAGCATGAACCAACCACTGGAGACTGTCGGACAGAACTGCCTCGGGCTTCCATCTAAACAGCCACAGGCCAGCTCCCTCAACCAGCTTGAGAATTGTGCTTTAAACCTTTCTCCTTTTTTTTTCATAGAAAATATTGGTTTATTTATATCTAATAACTGAAAGACCAACTCTTTCTTTTTTAAAATGGTAATCTTATAAAAGTACTGAAAATGTTGTGAATCACATATCTGATAAGAGATTTGTATCCAGAATATATAAAGAACACTTATAAGCCAATAATAAAAAGACAACCCAATTAATAACTGGAAAAAGTATCTGAATAGACATTTCTCCATAGAAGACATACTATTGGCCAATAAGCACGTGAAAAGATGTTAACATCATTAGTCATCAGGGAAATGCAAAACCACAATGAGAATCACTTCTCACCCACTAGGCAGGCTATAATCAAAAAGGCAGATGATAACAAGGGTCATCACGGATGTGGAGAAATTGGAACGCTCACACACTATTAGCAGGAATGTAAAATGGTGCAGGGGGCCGCACCGAGGCCGAGTGGTTAAGTTCGCACACCCTGCTTTGACAGCCCAGGGTTTCACCAGTTTGGATCCTGGGCGCAGACATGGCATCACTCATCAGGCCATGTTGAGGCAGCGTCCCACATGCCACAACTAGAAGGACCCACAACGAAGAATATACAACTATGTACCGGGGGGCTTTGGGGAGAAAAAGGAAAAAAAATAAAATCTTTAAAAAAAAAAAAACCTGCAAACAGTTCAGATGTCCTTCAACGAGTGACTAGTTACACAAACTGTGGTACATATATGCCATGGAATTCTATTCAGTAATAAAACATATACATGTTGATAGAAACAACAACCTGGATGTGTCTCTGACGAATCATGTTGAGTAAAAAACACCGGTTCTAAAAGTTACAGACTATGATTCTGTTATATAGCTTTTTCCTTTTTTTTTCCTTTCTTGATGAAGAAGACTGACCCTGACCTGACCTCTGTCCTGTCTTCCTCTAGTTTTTGTATGTGGGATGCCGCCATAGCATGGCTTGATGAGCAGCATGTAGGTCCGAACCTGGGATCCAAACCCGCAAGCCCCAGGCCGCTGAAGCAGAGCATGCGATCTTAACTACTACACCACCAGGCTGGCCCCAACATATAACAGTTTTAAAATGACAACCTTTTAGAAATGGAGAACAGATTAGCAGTTGCCAGGGGTTACAGCAGGGAGGCCTTGCTGGAGGGAGGTGAGTGTGATCATAGCAGGGCATCGGGACGGATCCTTGTGATGGAAATGTTCAGTATCTGTCTATGGTGTGGATGTATAAACCCTATACATGTGATTAAATCGTGTAGAACTAAATACACACCAAAAAATGACTACAAGTGTAACTGAGGAAATTGAGTAAGATCAGCGGGCCGTGTCTTGTACCACAGTTTTGCAAAATGTCTCCATTGAGGGTAAATAGTACACAGGATCTCTTCATGTTATTTCTTGTAACTGCACGTGAACCTTCAGAGATCTCAATAAAAATTTCAGTTAAAAAAAAATGATGGGTTTCTGTGGCATCCCCTTTGTTTCTTCATCAGTGAGGATCTGTGATGTGTGGAGAGGTATATTTTCATAACACAGATGAGGACGTTGGAATGGCGAAGATTCTGTGACAACTTGCAAATGGCACTCAGCCAGGAACAGAAGCCAGCGCTCTGGACACCCATTCTTTCCTTCAACAAATATGTATATGAGTGACTGCAATGCCCCAGAATCTGTTCTAGAGTCTAGGCCCTGGGGTTATAGCCATGAACAGTAAGACCATTCTTCTCTCTTGTAGGAAAGACCACAGCTCAGAGAGGTAGGAAGGGTCCCTGATGGTCCTCAGTAAAAGAAACTCCAGTGTCACTGGCAGTGGGCCTGTGGGCGTCAAGGCAAACAGGGAGCGGGGGGAGGATAATGAGGCCCAATAGCTTTTTTTTTGGCCCCTTCCAGCAGGACTGGCAAAGATGCCAAATCTCCTAATATTCCTCCTAAGAGGAAGGAGGAGTGTTTGGCTTGGCTGAGAGGCCAAACACAGGCGGGCTGGGCGCCAGGCTGGCTCAGGGCATTGCTGTCGCGCTGAGGATTTAGGAAGCTAGAGTCGTCCAAGATTGACGCCCTCGGAAAACTACAACTCCCAGCTTGTGCCGCGTCACGCCCAAGTCCTGGCGGTCATGTGATCGCTGTTCACGTGTCCCCGCAGCCGGCTCGGGAATGAAGCACCGTAGGTGGATGGCAGGAGCTAGAGGCGGTGGAGGGTGGAAGCGTTAGGTCCCCGGGTCCCCAGAGCCCCCATCGCGGCGGAGCCTGCCCACTCCCTACGGGGCTCCGGGGCCCCGCGTCCCCGGCTTCACGCCCGGCTCTGCTGAGCCGGCTCCGCCGCGCCTTAGCCCGGACTGTCTTCGCCTAGTCCTAGGCCGGGATCGAATCCCAGAGCCCCTCCCCAGCTCACCCCACAGCAGCTCACTCCCTCGCTGAAGGCCTGGGGATCGTCACCCCCGCCCCGGATGTGCCCTGGTCCAGCTCCCGAGGCAGCCCACCCCTCGTATTTCTGAGATCCAGCCCCAGGCTGGACTGGGAACCCACTCCCATCTGAGGGGCCTGCCGTAATGGCTTCAGCTCTGGCCTGAGCATATGGACGTCAGGCTTCTGGTTCTGGCTCTGCCCCCTAGCCACTGTGACATTAGTCTAACCTCTCGCTGCCTCAGCCTGTTCCCTATCTGATCTGCTGCTCTGTTCTAGGAGTTGAGTCAGAGCTGCTCAGTTCCCTTCACTCTGCTGACCAGCACAGAAACAGCCCGAACTCTTCTCTCTGCTGACAGCAGATTTTAGGTAAAGTCTTGAGAAAGAAGAAATCGGGGCTGGAGAGGAAAGCGGGAAGAATCAGATCTCAGATCTCTGGAGAGAAGGAGCTGTGAGGAGCAGCCCCACCTCCACCATAACAGACAGGTGGAAAGAGCAGGTAAGCTGGGGCGATGGAGCTGAGGAAGGGGCGCGAAGGGGAAGCTGAGAGATCCCGGACCGCGCAGAGCTCTCTGCATCCGAGCTGTGAGCAGGGTGGAGGGGGAGGCCTCACAGCTCCGGCAGCGCTAACTTTGCAGGGCTCTCTGGAGCTGCGCTGGAAGCCTGCGAGCCCGAGACTCGGCCTCCACCACCCACTGCTTTGGGTTTTGTGCTGAGCTGTCAGCTGGGTGGCAGGTTGCGTAAGAAGCAGGGCTGTGACTGATCTTTCTGGACTTGGAGCCAGCAGAGAGGTATTCCCTCTGGAGCTGTGTCTCCTGGTTGCATGCCTGGTGACAGATGTTTGAGATCCTCTGGCCTCTCCCTTTTCCCTCACACAAGTGTACGGTTCCCAGCTTGGTTCGACGATCACCGGGAGGAGCGATGGGAAGCATCTGACTACCCAGGAAGCTCCATGAGCCGTTCTGCACCCCTCAGTGTGCTGAGGGCATCAGAGGGGATGCCTCTGTGGTGGGCTCTGGTTAGGTCAGTGCTTATGGCTGAATCCGGTCAGTCCCCTTTGCTTCCCCTGAGCTAGAGAATAACCCAGGGAGGGATGAGTAAAGAGTCAAATGCAGAGTTTTGTATGAACACCCTGAGCTCAGGACTTAGGAAGGAGGAGACTCTGGGAAAGGAAGCTGTGGAAGATTGCACCCGCTTGGGTCATGACCAGCCATCAGCAGCCTCTGGGGAAGGCAGAGCCTGGCTCCTCACGGCCCCCTCAGCCCCTGGTCTTTCAATCTGGCTTTCATGTTGCTCTTCCTCCCATTAGCTACCCCAGTGCCTTTGCACCTGGCCAATCGCACCAGGCCCTGGTTTTGATCACTATTCTCCTCTCTGCTTGCTTAGGGATGAGGATTCTTAGGCATAGTGGATAGCAGCATGGGAAAGGGCGTTTGCAAACATTAACGGTAGCAATGACCGGTTATTGAGTGCTAAAGCCTTACTAATATGAACACACTCTTCATAGTAACTTATGATGTAAAGTCTTAGAGAGGTGAAGTGACTTGACCAAGGTCACATAGCTAGGAAGTGGAGGAGTCAGCCTTCTGACTTCAGAGTCTAATCAGAGCCCCAGGTCACGGCCACTCCCTGCTCAGGGCTGCTCCCGATCTGAGGGTGAACTTGACTCTGGAAGGCTGCCCTTTCTCTTGAGGGTCTCAGGCTGTGAACTGAACTTGAGAACACTGAAGGCCATTTTTCAGGGCTGAGCTCCTCAGAGCATCTCAGGGTTCTGGGAAGAGGACCAAAGAAGAGAGCCAAAGAAGAAGCTGTAACTCACCTGTGTTTCCCCAGAGAGGGAAGAGAATCGACCAGGTGACAAGCTTGTTATCTGTGTTCAGCCCTGCCCAAGGTCTCATCTTGGGCCCAGGAGTGGGGCAAATACAAACAGATGGATGCTGGAGGGTCGGACAGGCCTGAGTAGAGTCCCAGCTCCACCGCTGACCGCTATACGACCAGGGGTAGAGCGCCTAATCCCCCGGGATTCATTTCCTTCCTTGATAAAGGGGTGATATCATGCCCACCTTTTAGGGCTACATTGAGGATTTTAGATAAAGAATTCCGTAGCTGCAGCAATGGCAGTTAATGGTAACAATAAACACCACACATGTGGCCTCAGAGCCTTGCAGTCTAGCCTAGGAGACCAGTGCTGGCCATGCTGGGCCCCAGGGTGGCTCCAGAAGATCTCAGTGAGCATCCAAGGAAAGGGGAAGAAGTGGGACCTGAAAGGGAGGCTGGCAGAGGGGCTGGGAGCCTTCCAAGAACAGGACTGATAGCTGCTCTCCTGAGGACGCAAGCATGACAAGCATGCGGGGAGGGGGTTGTCATGCGGGAGAAGAGTGAGAATTTCGAAGGGCTTTGAAAGCTATGCGGAATTTAGACTCTTGGCCAGAGGCAAGTATGCTGGGCTGTAATCCATGGAAACCCTGAGTGAGTTTCTGGATGAGGGCTGTTCTTGGGACCCTGTGGTCTGGGAAGCCAGGCAGATCTGGATCCAAATCCTGCTCTGCCACTTTCTAATAATGTGACACCGGGTAGTGATTTGATCTCTGAACCTTATGACCATGAAGCTGTCACAAGGACTAAATGAGATAAGATACATCCCTGACATTCCTGCCCGATGCATGTCCTCTCTCTAGTGCTGACATGTTAGTTCCCCTCTCTTTTATGTTTATATCTTATTGACCATACAGGTCTGTAAGCCTGAAGCCAACAGGATTTGCATCTGAAATATGTCTGTCTCTGCCACCCCACACTATGGCGCCCAACGCAGTGTCGGCACAGAGGCACACCTGTGTTTGAATCCCAGCCGTGTGATCTTGGGAAAGTTGTTTCACCTTCTGTGCCCACCTTTCTGTGCCCACCTCAGGATCACAGTGGTGCCTGCCTTTCCTGTCTAGGTTGAGAAGAGCCAGAGCACACAGGCCTCCCAGGATAACAGCCTTCAACAGGCTGGTGCTGCCCTCCAGCTGCAGGTGTCCCCTCAGCCGCCCCAGGGATGTGGTGGTGAGGCAGCACCCGCAGACCCTGCCAGAAGAGGGCTCCCAGGGCCATGGCTCAGGTCAGCATCAACGCTGACCATGGCGAATGGAGTTTGAGCACGGACGCCGGGGAGCGGGCCCGCCTGCTGCAGAGTCCCTGTGTGGACACGGCCCCCAAGAGTGAGCGGGAGGCCTCTTCTGGGGATCTGGGCAGAGGCACCACTTCCACGCTTGGGGCCGTCTTCATCGTCGTCAATGCCTGCCTGGGTGCAGGGCTGCTGAACTTCCCAGCCGCCTTCAGTACTGCCGGGGGCGTGGCAGCCGGCGTCACGCTACAGATGGTGAGTGTGCTGGCTGGGAGGGCAGGATGCTGTGCAAGTGGTGGGTCTGCGGTTTTGCCTCGAAAGGGAAGCTGTGGATCAGGGATGGTCAATAGGAATGCTACCACTCTCCCCTCCCTCACACATGGCAGACACTAGCAGTCTATTCCAGCATTCTTTCCTCTGAGCCCAGAGGAGGCTTCCAAAGCCTTCCCAACAATCAGGGAAGTTTGGACATCAACTAGATATTTAATAATCTTGTGGTTATGTTTAAAAAGTGGGCCTGGGGCTGGCTGGGTGGCCCAGCGGTTAAGTGCGCACGTTCCGCTTCGGAGGCCTGGGGTTCACCAGTTCGGATCCCAGGTGTGGACATGGCACCGCTTGACAAGCCATGCTGTGGCACGCGTCCCACATATAAAGTAGAGGAAGATGGGCACGGATGTGAGCTCAGGGCCAGTCTTCCTCAGCAAAAAAAAGAGGAGGATTGGCAGCAGTTAGCTCAGGGCTAATCTTAATCAAAAAAAAAAAAAAGTGGACCCTTGGGGCCAGCCCCGTGGCCGAGTGTTTAAGTTCACGCACTCTGCTTCGGCGGCCCAGGATTTTGCCGGTTTGGATCCTGGGCGCGGACATGGCACTGCTCATCAGGCCACACTGAGGCAGCGTCCCATATGCCACAACTAGAAGGACCCACAACTAAAAATATGCAACTATGTACTGGGAGGCTTTGGGGAGAAAAAGGAAAAAATAAAAATCTTTAAAAAGTGGGCCCTTATCTTTTAGAACTGCCTGCCAAAATATATAAGGATGGAATGATATGATAGTGTATATTTTCTTAAAATAATCCAGAGTGGGAGAAGGAATAGATGAAACAAGATTGGCCATGAATTGATCCTTCTTGAAGCTGAGTGTTCGGTACATGGGGCTCTGTTACACTGTTCTGTCTACTTTTGTCCTCATCTCTCTACTAAATTTGAAATTTTCCACAAAACTTCTTTTGTTTTTAAACAAAGTCTCCCCTCAACAGCCTCCAGTAATCTGTTAAAATTGCCCTGCAAGATGAGACTGATTTGCCAGCCAGCTTTGGGCACTGGCCCAGGAAGCGCGGAGCGAGCCAGGCTGCGATTCGCTGCCAAGCCTTTCCCACACTCTTGCTCTGCCCCTGCCTGCAGGGCATGCTGGTTTTCATCATCAGCGGCCTCGTCATCCTGGCCTACTGCTCCCAGGCGAGCAACGAGAGGACCTACCAGGAGGTGGTGTGGGCTGTGTGTGGCAAGCTGACGGGCGTGCTGTGTGAGGTGGCCATTGCCACCTACACCTTCGGCACCTGCATCGCCTTCCTCATCATCATCGGGGACCAACAGGACAAGAGTGAGGTTCCCCCTCAGTACCTGCCTCATCCCTCCCCTGCAGCCCTGGGGGTCCTGGGGGGAGGGAAGGGGCATGGAACACCTGCCCACGGCCTGGCTTGGGCCCGGCATCCACCTGGGAATCCTCCCTCCGGGCCGCTGGGCCCATTAGACAGATGGAGGTCCTGAGACCCAAAAAATAGGACGGCCACACCCTGCAGGAGCCTGGCATGACATTCCCTCCTTCCTCCCTGTGCAGTTATAGCTGTGATGGCAAAGGAGCCTGAGGGGGCCCACGGCAGCCCCTGGTACGCAGACCGCAAGTTCACCATCAGCCTCACTGCCTTCCTCTTCATCCTGCCCCTTTCCATCCCCAGGGAGATCGGCTTCCAGAAGTATGCCAGGTTCGGAGGCCCCACCCCAGCCTGAACCGGACAGAAGCTCTAGTCACAGGCAGCGAGAGACCCGAGGGCTGCTGGGGAACCCCTCCCCTTCTTGACACCCCAAATCTGGGGCGGCAAGAGTGGGCAAGGCAGGGCGAACCATGGCTTGCAGGGCTTCTGGCATAAGACTTCCTTTGGTGTGAGCAACAAGGGGGTCAGCGGCCCTTTGCATCAGTGAGAGATTCAGTTCTAAATGCCCTTGTCAAAGATGGGATGGGCGACAATCAGTGTGGAGGCAGCCACCTGGCCTGGGCTTTGGCTTTCCCTGGGAGAATGGGAGTTTTGATCATTTGGGATTGTTAGCCAGGCAGCATCTTCCATGCAGCTTGGGATGAAGGGAAAGGACTGGCTTCTCGGCTCAGGGTTGGAACAGCTGTGGGATTCTAGGCTGTTTCCTGTGATCTGTAATTGAAGGGTCCTGCTCAGCTTTCTCCACGGTTCCCTTTGATGTTGACATTCCAGTATTTGTACCCTCTTACCTCCAGCATCTCCTAGTTCTCAAAGGCTCTGTCTGCAGCCCTCACCCAGTCTGGGCTGCTCTGATTGAAGTAACACATGTGCTTTGAAGCCCAGCCCCCCACCGTGGCCTCTGAGCCATGGAGCTGAACCAGCGCATTTCCTGATGGCCACGAATGTCACTGTCGTTCCCTGTTGGCGTCCAGCTCCCTCCTAGCTGTGGCTGGTTTCTCCAAAACTTATTTCTCATGCTTTTCTTGAGTGTTTGTCTAGAATAGTCTCCCAATTCGTTCAGTAGACACTTGTGGTGTCCCTGGAGCTGAGGATGGATGCCCCTGGGGATGGAGTCAGAGAAAAGGCAGCTGGGGCTGGGGAAAAGGAAGTCCGTCCCTCTCTCCCCACAGCTTCCTGAGTGTCGTGGGCACCTGGTACGTCACTGCCATCATTATCATCAAATACATCTGGCCAGATAAAGAGATGACCCCGGGGGACATCCTGACCAGGTGGGTGAGGGCCCCCAGGAGACACAAGGGATAGAAGCCACCACCTGGGCCCAGGAGGTGCTGGGTCGGGCATCAAAAGGCCACACAGGTGCTCTTGGCAAGCCTCATTAGCTCATCAGCGCTTGAGTCATTGGTCACTGTAGGAAGGAGGTGAGAGATCCTCATCTCTTCTTACTGGAGGGAAGAGTGAGAGGCAGAGATGCCGAGACTTTACCACTAACTCCAGCAGATGGGCTAACGTGGGACCAGGCTTCAGGTCGTGGAGACTGCCGGGTGGAATTGCACATTTCTCCAACTTGTACTTACCTGTAATTTCTGTATCTTCTGCATGAGGATGAATTGGTTTTTTTATTTTTTTTTTAAAGTTTCCTTTTTTTGAAAGGAAGAAACCAGAAAAGCAAAAGCCCCAGTGCAGGAGCCAGGAATTCTGGATTTTCGGTCCCAGGAGGGCCTTCCAGAGCCTCCGTTTACTGACCTGTGAAATGGAGATAGGTCCTCGCCCGGTTCCCAGACTTGTGTGGGTTGAGTGTAGAATGCTGGTTGGTGGAGGCCGTGGTGGGCTGAGTGAATAGGAGGGGCACGGGGGTGGTGGGTGGCTCTGGGGGGCTCACAGGCGACAGATTCCTATGTGTCTGTCCACAGGCCAGCTTCCTGGATAGCTGTGTTCAACGCCATGCCCACCATCTGCTTCGGATTTCAGGTGCCAGTTGCGGTCCCCTTAGCTCCCTCCCCTCCCTGGGAACCCACGTTACAGGCAGGATGGGGGGGATCCTGGAAGGAAGGGTGGAGTGGGGGCCCCGGGACTTGCTCCTTATTCCTGGAAACTGGGGTGAGGTCACCTCCCCGCCATGACCCTACCCTCCACCCTGACAGTGCCACGTGAGCAGTGTGCCCGTCTTCAACAGCATGCGGCAGCCTGAGGTGAAGACCTGGGGCGGTGTGGTGACGGCTGCCATGGTCATCGCCCTCGCTGTCTACATGGGCACAGGTGAGTGCTCCCCCCCAAGGGCTGGGGTTGGAGTGCTCCCACTTTTCCTCATCGTCCCCAAGTCCTCTGGCCCAGCTTTCCTGGGGACAGCGCTGCACTCCCAGCACCTCAAACATTCTGTGGGCATTGGCTTCACTTTGGGCTGCCGTGCGCCTCCTCCTGCCCAAACGAGAGAGCTGTGTCCGTCCATTCATTCAGCTGCTCTCAACTGGTGCCTAGTGAGTGCCAGGAACTGTTCTCAGCATGGGGGGAGCCGTGGAGATGGACGGACCTGGTCCCGCCCTCACAGAATTGACGGTCTAGAGAGACAGTCCTACAAGAGTAAACCAGGGGTCCGTAAGGGATTCCGACACGCTGGTGAGTGCCATGGTGACAGTGAAACAGAGGAGATGTGAGGGGATATGGGAGGGCGTGGCTTTGGGAAGTGGTTCACAGAAGGCTCCCCTCTGAGGAGTTGGCATTTGGGAAGGAGCTAGAATCTCAATCAGTGGGGCAAGAGCGTTCCAGACGGAGGAAGCAGAAAATGCCAGACAGGGACAGAACGATCTGTGTAGCTGGAGTGGAGTGAGTCAGGGCAGATGACAGCAGTGAGGCCCTACAGGGAACAGGGCCAGATCCTGTTGGCCTTGAGGACTGCTGGGAGCCAGAGGCAGCGTTTCACACAGGGGCAGGCTCGGCGGAAGGTGGCTGTGGGTGCTGGGTGGAGGACGGTTTGGGTGAGGGAGCCGGCCTGGGAGACCAGGAAGAATGGCCCTGTGACTCCTTCCACAGATGGTTCTCGGGGCCCACACTGTTCCACCTCTGAAGACACAGCCAGGAACAGGAGAGGCAAATAGGCAGAATCCCTCTTCCCCTGGGGTTTGTGTTCTGGTTAGGGAGACAGATAATAAACAAATTTAAAAAAAAATCAGAGAGAGAGGAGCACTGTGAAGGGAACCGACAAAGCGATGTGAGAGAGTGCCTAGGGTGGGGTTGTTGTGGGGGGCTGGGTGGGGAGGGGTTCTCTGAGGAGAGGACATCTGGGCTGAGACCTGGATGATGAGAAGATGGCGGTGTGAAGAGAGTTCGTGCAGAAGCTGTGAGACAGGAATGTGCGGCGCGAGTTCAAGATCAGAAGGGTGGCGGTGTTGGGGCGGGGCATGTGAGGATTCAGGGATGGAGGCTTCTGATCCCAGCCCCCCGACACTCTAAGCCTCAGTATGAGCCTCCAGCGCCCTGCCCCTCTGATGCTGCACCTAGGAGTGGACGGTCCATCCCCTTACCCTCCCAGGCTTGCCCTGACCCAGCCCTCCTGTCCATGCCCTCAGGCATCTGTGGCTTCCTGACCTTTGGAGCTGCTGTGGACCCCGACGTGCTCCTCTCCTACCCCTCGGAGGACATGGCTGTGGCTGTTGCCCGCGCCTTCATCATCCTGAGCGTGCTCACCTCCTACCCCATCCTGCACTTCTGTGGGCGGTGAGAGCCCGCCCCACCTGGCTGGGGTGCTCCCTCTCCCCAGGGCCCCTCAGAGCCCCTAAAAGCCCTTTGAACATGGTCCTTTGGCCTTGTGTGGAACTCATTTTGTAGAAGGGAAGACTGAAGCCCGTAGGAAAGAGTCAGTGCCTAGGATGGCTCTGCAAGTACCCCCAGCTGGGTCTTAGGGGCCTCCTTGTCCCAGGGTCCCCAGAACATTCTGTGAGTCCTCTAAGAACCTCTAGCCCAGATCCTTTCCTGAACACCCAGCCTTCTGGGTACCCCAGGCCCTTCCTTTTCAGGAGAATGATAGTACCAGTTCCCCTGGGTGAGCCCTCCCGGGCCAGGCAAGGAGCTAAACCCTTCACATTCACCGTCTCCTGCAGTCCCCATGGGGACCCTGGAAGAGTGTGGCTAGGCCCATTTTGTAGAAAAGGAAACAGGCTCAGGGACCAGGGCCTCACCCACAATCTACCTGGTCGGGGGCCTGGCTCCGCAAGCTGGAGGTGGAGGCCGTGAGCAGGGGTGCCTCTGATGCCTCTCCCCATGGGCAGGGCGGTGGTTGAAGGCCTGTGGCTGCGCTACCAGGGGATGCCGGTGGAGGAGGACGTGGGGCGTGAGCGGCGGCGGCGGGTGCTGCAGACGCTGGTCTGGTTCCTGCTCACGCTGCTGCTGGCGCTCTTCATCCCTGACATCGGCAAGGTCATCTCAGTCATCGGAGGCCTGGCCGCCTGCTTCATCTTCGTCTTCCCAGGTGCGGCCCCCTGGCGCCCTGCAGCCCTGACTCCCAGGGCGTCCCAGCCTGAGCTCCTCACTTGCTCACCTGCCAGGGAGTGTAACCACCCAGATTTGGTGTTCACCCACCTCAGGTTCTGTGCCAACCCCTGTGCATGCATCACCTCCTGAAAAGAAGGTGTAGCTATGATCTTCGTTTTACGGAGGAGAAGATGTGGGGTTCAGAGAGGGTAACAGACTTTCCTGGAGGTGAACAAACTCAGCTCATGAGTAACAGAACCTTTTCAAACCCGAGTCAGTCCAGGTCCGCAGCCTGTTCTCTTAACCCTTCACTCAAGTGTCTGTTGCTCCCTGACTATCAGGAATCCAGCTGGTTCAGTCCCCAGAGGGCAGTGGGGCTTGGTGGCAGCACCCTGATGCAAAAACCGGGAGACCTTAGTTTCAGACACGGTTTGCCACCAGGTGCCTGGGAAATCATCCTGTCTGCCAGCCATGAGTTCCGCCTACCCCCAGCTCATTTCTATCCAGGAGACAACCTTGCAAGCCCTGGCCACTGGAGCAAGGGGGCCACATCTACTCAGAAGGGCCTGGGCAGGGTCTTGCTGCCAGTGCTGCCCCTTTAGCCCTGAGTCTTGCATGCAGCCCCGGGGTGCCTGTCAGATGCTGGCCTCTCCTGGGAGAGCAGAGGCCAGGCCTCCAGCTGGGGGGGAAGGGGGGTCAGAGATGGAATATCTGAAGAGTAAACAAAGGCCTTTCTCCATCTCCCACCACTGCCTCTTGGTGAGAGGGGCGGCTGGGCTGAGGGAGGGAGCCCACCCGAGGTCTCAGGGCCACCCCTTCTCTTCCAGGGCTGTGCCTCATTCAAGCCAAACTCTCTGAGATGGAGGAAGTCAAGCCAGCCAGGTAAAGCAGGGCTCAGTCCCTGGTCTTGGGGAGATGCTGGGGGCAAGAAGATTAAAATGCACAGGGGCCGGGAGCTACCCTCAGCCGCAGGTGAGGCTATGGGTTAATTAATCACCCTCTGGGCGCAGCAAGGGAGGCCCCACGCCCAGTACTGGCCTTGCTCCGGGAGTGACCAGCTCTGCCTGCCTCTCGGCTTGAGTGTTGCTAGATTACACAGCTTCCAGGAGACTGTGTACTTTGCGTTTCAAAATTCTTTTTTCAAATGGGTAACACGCGCTAGTTGTAACAGTTTATATACTACGGAAAGACTTTAAAGAGTGGGAGACCCTCTTCCGCCACAGCCCGCCCCCACCACATCCCTTCTCCTGAGAGAGCTCCAGGTCCTCAGCGCTGTCCGTGCCCTTCTAGACTGTTTCTGTGCGTGCACACGTCTGTGTACACATAGCTATGCATGTGTACGCACAAACACACAGGGTTTTGTGCCTAGTTTGGTTTTTTTCAAAAATGGTTCTATGCCAGACACACTTTTCTGCCACTTGCTTTTTTTCACTTACTTTTTTTCCCTTGCTTTTTTTCACTGGGGATCACTCTATGTCAGCACAAGAAGGCCACTTCTTCCTTTTTGAATGGCCGCAGAATTTTCTGTTGTATGAATGTGTGCTGAATGTGAACACTCTTATACATACACAGCGTGGCACACCTGTTCGAGGATCTTGATAGGAGATTCTTAGAGGCAAATTGCTAGGTCCCGGGACATGCCCATTTTTACTTTGGCACCGGGGTTCAAATTACTCTCCGAAAAGTACCAGAGTCCTAGCAGCAGTGAGTAAGCGTGCCCTGTTCCTCATACCCCTGCCAGCACTGTCTGTAACAGCCTTTTAAAATTTTGTTAGTCTGATGCATGCAAAACACTACATTGGGTTTTTCTGTCTTTTAAAGATTGGCACCTGAGCTAACAACTGTTCCCAGTCTTTTTTTTTTTTTCCTTGCTTTTTCTCCCCAAATCCCCCTGATACAGAGTTGTATATTTTAGTTGTGGGTCCTTCTAGTTGTGGCATGTGGGAAGCTGCCTCAGCATGGCCTGACGAGCAGTGCCATGTCTATGCCCAGGATCCGAACCAGCAAAGCCCTGGGCCACCGGAGCGGAGTGCATGAACTTAACCACTCGGCCACGGGGCTGGCCACCACTACATTGTTTTAATATGTACATGTCCTTGAATAGTAGAGAGGTTGAGAACAGGTTGCATGCTTTTCAAAAAAATTATCGTGCAAATAATACTCATTCATTATGGAAAACTTAAAAAATACAACAAGCCTAAGGAAGAAAATAAAAATCACTCAATCTCAATACCCAGTTATAACCCTCTTGCTATTTTTGATACATATATATGCAGATGTCTGCTTTTTTTAAATGAAATGAATCACACTGCATGTGACCTGCTTTTTCCTGAACATCTTTCCATCAGGAGACATGCGTTCTAATCCTGGTGTTGCCCTTGGTGTGTTGTGACCAGACAGTTAATTCCATTGGGTCTTGGTCTCCTTACCTGTGGACTAGAGATCAGACACCTGGCCCCAAATACCTTTATCTGAAAAGTCCTTTAGAAATAGGAAATGCTCCACCCACGGAAGTGGTATAAGTAATTTACGGTGATTAACTGATACACGTATTGACGTCTGCAGAGTCATGGAGGGGTTAACTGACCAGGCCTCTCACCTTCTGCCCTATAGCTGGTGGGCGCTGGTCAGTTACGGAGTCCTCTTGGTCACCCTGGGAGCCTTCATCTTCGGCCAGACCACAGCCAATGCCATCTTTGTGGATCTCTTGGCATAACCACTGCCTCCCAAGGAACACGTGGCCTTTGCTGTTGGACCCAGCATCCCATCTCTTAGAGCTGCGGGGCCACCCTGAGTCCGGCATCCTTCCTCCCTACTGGTGGAGTGACATCTGGACATCCTTTTCCAGGGACAGTTCTGGGGTTAAATCAGGCCCCAACCTGTGGACAACTCAAACCCAGCTCCCTTCCTGTCTCCCCCATCCTGGCAGTGCCATAGATGGTGGGAGGAGGTCTCATGTCACAGAGGAACCTTCCCCCTTCCTCCAACTCTCGACTTCTCCATGCCTGGAACCCGTGGGTGAAGAGGGCCAGGAGGTCTCAGCAGAAAGAACCCAGCCCGACCTCCCTCTGGAGAAAGGGTGGGCAAAGGGTCGTCCCCCCGAGAGCAGCCTGTCCTGAGTAGGGCTGTGCTCGTTACCCCCAGACACACTGCCTGCTCCAGTCTGTTGGCAGCCCAGCCAGCCGTGGCTTCCTCTGGGATCTGGCAAGTTCCAAAGGGAGCACTGAAGTCGTACAAATGCGCAGAGGCAGAGAGATCCATGCCTTGTCCACTCCCTCCTGGCCCCCAGTGAGCCTGACAGCCCTCTCCCATGGCTAAGGGGCATTTCCAAGGCTTTGGGGCCTCACGCTGTCTTGTTCCTCTGACCTGAGGGTCCAGGCGTCCCTCCTCCTCCATCCCGACATCACCAAGTCTAATGTTTACAAACGGTGCCGGCCAGCCTTGAGCCAGAGCCCAGGGGCCGTCCTGTGCCACCACGGTGCTGTGAGCACACCTCCGTGAGCTTTCCCCATGCGGGGAGTCTGCTTTTCTCTTCAGATTCCAGACGTGCCCCTCTCTTCCGAGGCATGAGGGTGGGTAATGGAAAAGTCTGGGAACCTTTCAGACCCGTGCAGGCTGGGCTGGTCAGGATCAAGGTGAGCCTGTCTGACATCTGCACTTTCACCCACTGCTTCTCTTCTCCTGCCCTGCCAGCCCTAGCAGCATGGTAGCCCAGAGAGAAAAAAGGCAGCCGCGTTGTCATTAACTGGGTGACGTCTGAGTGTAGCCGCGCCAGCCTGGAAGTTTCCCTTCCACTGTGGATCTTGTCTGCTCCTTCCCCATTCCATCACTTCTTCACCCCCTCCCCCATTTCTCTATGTAGCTCAACCTCTCCTGTGCACATAAGTATGCAGGTGGGGGATTGCCAAACCCCATCGTGTCAGCTTCCTCAGCTCCACACATCCACCAGGCCTTCCTTCAGTGGCTTGTCGGTCACACTGAGGTCACACCCAGATTGTGCCCCAAGCAGCATGAGGAGGGACACTGTTCTCCCCGTTCTTGTTCCCATTTTCAACACCTTGGCCGCTCACTTCGGTCAACCCCAGGTACCAAATCAGGCTTCGTCCGCCTGGAGCACCAGTATTTCCCTGGCCCCTCCTGCCCAAACCTCTGTACCAGGGATGCAAGGGACCACCGCCCAGCAGACCCCTACTCAGGGCAGTCGGATATAAGAAGCAGAGGCTGGCTGGAGGCTGGAGAGGCCTCTGCTCAGTCCCCAGAACGGGCGACCTGCCTTTCCTCACGTCCCATCTCAGCCCCCAGGGCCAGACCCACTCTGCTGTTTTCTCTCAGGCTGCTGCACAGCACCAGACCCTGCCAGCGCCCACGCCTGCCGAGGGTCGGAGGACGGCGGTCAGCAGGGCTGCACAGCCTCCTGATGCTGGGTTTCCGGGGTGGGGGGATGTAGGGAGAGTCACTGCACAGAACTGGACCAGTCGGGAAAAAGCTGGAATCCGGCCTCTTGGCCTAACCTCAGGAGCCCCCTCCCTGCCAGGGCATTTTACTGTTTCTTTTCTATTTGTGCACATTCAGACTGGGGAGGATGGTTAATAAAAAAAGGGACTTGTGCTGCTGATCTTTGTGGCCTGTGTCTGGTGCTGGGGACAGGGTCCAGGCCACTGACAGGAAGAAGATGGTCTGGGGCAGAAATTGGGGGGAAGCGGGGGGGGCAAGGCCTTTTGTTTTTTGGGGTTTTGTTTTTTGTTTTGCTCCCCAAAGCCCCAGTACGTAGCTGTATCTTCTAGTTGTAAGTCCTTCTGGTTCTTCTATGTGAGCCGCTGCCACAGCATGGCTACTGACAGATGAGTGTTGTGGTTCCAGGCCTGGGAACCGAACCCAGGCTGCCAAAGTGGAGTGCACTGAACTTTAACCATAGGCCCTCAGGGCTGGCTCAGGCCTTTTGGCTTCGCCATCTGTGCCCCTGATGTGGGAATGGGCCCCACCATGCTCCCTCTACCAAGACTGCAAGCGGTTCTTGACACCTCCCTTTTCTTCCACATCCCATCAGCCCTTGCCCGCTGACTTGGGAGTTTGCCCCGGTCTCCCGTCCTGCTGCCTCTGCCTTGGCTGAAGCCCTCACTGTGTCTTCCTGCACCACTGTGGCCTCAGACTGGCCTCTGTGCTGCATGGCCCTCCCTGACCTCAAATTCTAGAGTGAGCTTCAGATTCCTGAGCCCCCACCCGTTGTCTTTTCCGAGGCACGTGTTGAGCACACCCTCAGTGTTCTGGTTGTGGAGAGTCGCCATGCTCAGTGCTGGGGAGAAGACAGTCAGCAAAACAGACACAAGCTCTCCTCTCAGTCTACTGGGGAAGACCAATGCTAAGCAAGTGGTCACAAATATATACTCACAAATTATCAGTCCCAAGAAAGGAAAACATAGAACGTTATATTTAGGGGCCTGAGCTCATCTGAACTGATCTGGGGAGTCAAGGAAGGCTTCCTGGAGGAAGTGATATTTGAGCTGGCCCCTGGGTGATGAGTAGGAATGAACTAAGTGAAGAGAGGGGGGGAGACCTTTCCAGGCCATGGATACTGCATGTGCAAAGGCCCCATGGTGAGAGGAACATGGTGGTTTGAGGAACTGAAAAGTGGTTATTGTAGGTGCAGCATTGCCTGGATGTGGAGAGCAGCAGGGGTGAGACTAGGACATCCTGGGATGGTCTTCAGTGGCTCCCCTTTTTCCTTAGGGTAAAGTCTGACCAGCTCATTTTCCACCACACTCCCCCTCCCTGCTCCGGTCATAGGCAAAGATCCCTCCCTCCTGGTGGGGGCGAGGACTCCAAGGAGGAAACACCTGGAAAGCCTAGAGGAGTGGGACAGCTTTGTGCCATGGATCACAGCTGACTAGGGGGCCAAGAGCTTGAGGTTCGGTTTCACTTCCTCTGAGTGAACAGAGGGAAGCAAGGGTTACATCGATGCCAAAGGCAAATGCACAGCCACGTTCATCTGTTTTCCTCCAGACGGCCTGCCTTTTGCTCAGCACAGTTGTAAGCATTTTGTCAATGGCTCTCTCCCGCTTTAGACTCCTTGGGAGCGGGGCATGTCTCCCTCAAGTGTCTTAGCCTGGCGCTGACGATCAGCGAGTGTTCAATAGTTGTTGAATGAATGAATGAATTTCAACTAACATTTGTTGCGTCCTTACCTTGTGCCAGTGCTGTACTTGGGTCATTCTCGTATGGTCTTCACAACAACTCTATGAGGAGGCAAAAGCTAAGAGAGGTTAAATACTTGGCCCAGGGACACACAGGTGGTAAAATTGGAGCCCGACAGCCCTCTTACCATGTATAAATAAACAAGTGAGCAGAGGGCTCTCCCAGAGCCAGCCTGGCAATTTCTGAGGCCAGAAGGCAAGCTCAGGAACCTATGACCCCAAAGACCCCAAAACTGGCACCAACACCAAATCTTAGAACCCTTGGATCATTCTCCCAGCCAATCTACATGAAATGGTGGGATGCCTGCTGGCTGGTAGCTCTGGGCAAGTTGCTTCACCTCTCTGGGCTTCTATTTCCAGATCTCTAAAATAGGAATGAGGGCCAGCCCCGGTTGCCTAGTGGTTAAGTTCAGTGCACTCTGCTTCAGCAGCCCAGGTTTGAATCCCAGGTGTGGACCTACACCACTTGTTTGTCAGTGGCCATGCTGTGGTGGCGGCTCGCATGTAAAAAGAGGGGAAGATTGGCAGCAGATGTTAGTTCAGGGTGAATCTTCCTCAGCAAAAATAAATAAACAAATAACATAGGAATGATAATTACTGATCTTATTTACGTCCCAGGGTAAGGAGGAACCAATGTAAAGAAAGGACATGAAAAATGACAGAAGTGCTTCAAACCTAGAAATCCACATTTTTACAGAAGAAATGTAAAAACTCAGTTTCCCCTCAGGAGGACACAGGCTGGGTTCCCCTACCTCTTCCTGAGGTCACAGTGCTTCTCCAACTTCAATGTGCACACAAAATGTTTATCTCCTTAGGATACAAATTCTGGTTCAGTAGGTCTGGCTTGGGGCCTGAGGGCTGCATTGCTAACACTCCTGGTATCGCCCGTGCTCCGGTCCTCGGACGTCACTTTGAGTAGCAGGGGACTGGTGGATCTCGGCAATGCTTACACTGGGAACTCAGGGAGTCGGCTCGCTTCTCTGAGCACCACTTTCGTCAACTATATAGTGGGAGCAATGGTGCCCGCCTTGGAGCTGTAGATATTATAAATCCAAGCACAAATGGCATAATAATATAAGCGAAGTACCTGGCAGGAGCGGGGGCTATGTTGGTCCTTTCCCCGGTACTGGAAGGATGCAGGGGAAATGTGCAACTGCAGTTTCCTCCTTGGGTCAACAGAGGTCCCCTTTGCTTAATTTCTGTCTGTGAAGGTGAGGAGCCTGCAGCCTCAGAGGAGACTCCAGGCCCCTGAGTCACTGGGGCTCCTGGTGATTCGGTGGCTGCCTCGTTCTTCTGAGTGATGCTCCCATCCTGGGGCAAAGCCACCTCCAGATCACGGCCTCCAGTCTGACGGGGTAGTCAGACCCATCAAATCATCCCAAAACCTAATTGTGGAAGTACATGTGCAAGCTGTAGATTAGATATTAGAAATCCAGATTTGGTAATCCTTCATTGCTGTAATACAGTGAGAAAATTTTCAGGGGGCAAGGAGAAGGGCGACAGTGGTGACTAGGGCACATGTGTACGGGGATGGACGGTAATTAGTCTTTAGGTGAATATGATATAGTCTACACAGAAATCTAAATATAATGATGTACAACTGAAATTTATATAACATTATAAACCAATGTTACCTCAATAAAAAGAAAGAAAGAAAGAAAAAATTTACAGTAAGTGTGGAGCAAAGCCAGAGACCTTGTAACTAGGAACAAGGCAGATACTATGTCCTCTAGACACTTCGTGTTTCCTGAGTGAGAATAGGCACAAGATTCATCCATTTGGTCATTCTTCCATTAAAAATGAAATTGATATATTTCCAGTCTAGCACGTAAGAAGCTTGGAAGTGGCTACCCCATCCTTACAATGAGTAAAAAGCTGAACCAACTGAAAGGTCAATAACTCTTCCTAGATCTGTAAGACAAGTCGGGTTACGGAGCACATCACTGTTCCCAAAATTGAAGGGAGTGACAGGCAAATACAGAGCAGAAACCTAGAAGCAGTAACGTCTGCGGGAAGCAGTGCCCGGGTAGGGAAACCTGAGCTGTGATTGATGAATTGCTGGAGGCTCAGTGTGGACAAGTCTGAGAGAGAAACAGACCAGTTATGGGAGGGCCCACACTTCTGTGCATTTTACCTCCTGGAGCTCTACCAGCTTCTCACGGTAAACACCGGAGAACAATCCCCTCATGCCTCTGGCAGGGGAGGGTAAAAGGAACCATTCTGAAACGTGCCAGACCATTCTGTCCTTAACAAGATCTGCCCTCTGGAGAGACTTAAGATTTAACCACAGCCTAACCTGCTGGGGCTTTATCTGAGCCTAACTGACCTAGGGGAAAGGAAATACCCAAATCCAGCCAGCTCTAGCCTCTACTGTGGAGGAAGGGAAATACACGACTTCAGCCTCCTCTAGCCACTTAAAGGGGATTGGAGGGGGAACTGAGAAGTGTGGGTGAAGTTCACAGCCCAGAAGCACACAGGCTCATGAAAAGACAGTGATCAAATCATAAGACTGTAGAATGCTTCCCCTCTCCCACACCTCACCACCACGTTACTAAAAGCCTATTTACAGCAGTTTCTTTTACCCAGGATATTACGTCCACCTATCAAGAAAAAATTACAAGACATACTAAAAGGTGAAAAACACAGTTTGAAGAGACAAGGGAAGCCTCAGAGCTAGACTCAGATGTGGCAGGGATGTTGGAATTATCAGACCAGAAATTTAAAAGAACTATGATTAATATGCTAAAGGATTTAATGAATAAAATAGACAGCATGCAAGAACAGATAGGCAATGTAAGCAGAGAGATGGAAATTCTAAGAAAGATCCAAAAAGAAATGCTAGAGATAAAATAAAAAAAAAACACTGTAAGGGAGAAGAATGCCTTTAATGGACTCATTAGTAAACTGGATACAGCTGAGGAAAGAACCTGTAAGCTTCAGGATATCTCAATAGAAACCTCCAGAATTGAAAAGCAAATAGAAAAAAGACTTTAAAAAAAAAAACAGAACAGAAAACCCAAGAACTGTGGAACAAGTACAAGAGGAGTAACATACACAAAATAGGGAATACCATAAGGAGAAGAGAGAAAGGAACAGAAAAAATATTTAGAACAATGATGACTGAGAATTTCCCCCAAATTAAGGTCAAACACCAAACCACAGATCCAGGAAGCTCAGAGTACACCAAGCAGGGTAAATGCCAAAACATATGGCATCTAGTCATATCATTTGCAAAATACAAAAAAAAATCTTAAAAGAAGCCAGAGGAGGGTCTGGCCCAGTGGTGTAGTGATTAAGTTCACACACTCTGATTCGGTGACCGAGGGTTCATGGGTTCGGATCTTAGGCGTGGACCTGCACACTTCTCATCAAGCTGTGCTGTGGCGGCATCCCACATACAAAACAGAGGAAGATTGGCACAGAT